AGTCCGGACCACAGACCTGCTGCTGTGAGGTCGTATCAAACGCCTTGGAAAGGTGAGGACACCTCCTGAGGAGGGTCGGAGTTGGACTGGGGTCAGCTGACGAGGAGACTAAGGTTCATTAAAGGGCTGTGGAGCTTTCAACCACAGGTCTACAGGTGGAGGTCTAGAGGCCATGAAGAAGAAACAGGTGTGAAGGATCCAGGTGATTCAGCTCTGTTGCCGCCAATCAGAACACACGTCACTGAAACCAGGTTCAATGAAGTGATTGTAAAATCTAAAACTGGAGCTGAACGCTGAACTTTGACCCGTTTCATTTTTCTTGCTTCATTCTTCTTCGTGTGTAAAATGAAAACAGAGTGGAATCTTTGTGACCTGACCCAGACTTCCTTTAAATTTCAGATGTTTCAAAGACTAAAAATCATTTCTAAAAAAAACTGAGAAATCCTTTAAAATGTGATTTTACAGGTGCTGTGGGCTCATGGGAGACCAACCGGGCCGCAGCAGACTGAACCAGAACTCTGGGTCCTGGTCTACAGAAGCTCCCAGACTCTGACTCTTTGTTCTTTACTAAATGAAGAATCGTTAAAACATTAACGAGGGGGGGGGCAGTTACAGTATGAGTGGTTTTGTTTTGGCGGGGGTGGAGGGGGGGTCTGGATCAGGACAGCGGTACAAAGACATTTTATATAGAGAACCTTATAAGACACAAACAAGTTCAGCACACAACCTGAAAATCAAATAAACAGAAATGAAGCAAATGTAGTGTTAAAAAAAAAAGTCTGTCTCGTCTCTGCTGACAGAGCCGGCGCTGGATGAGGGATGAGGGATGGGGGGGTTCAGGGTCCGGTGGCCCCACCCTCCCAGTGTTGACCCCAGGGCGGACAGTAGGTTGTGGGTTTGGGCTGCAGGACCAGCAGAGGACAGGTTTGGTCTCAGAGGGTTTGGCTCTAAAAACACAGACCTGGACCTGGTTTCAGTGGACGACCAATCAGCTGCTGGTTTTAAAACACACCTGCACACACCTGAGACTCACTGCAGAGAGACACCTGTCCACCATCAGTCCCCTGTTACTGAGAGTCTGAGTCCTGGTCTGGAGACATCTGTGAGAACATGTCTCCTGAATCATCCTCAAATTCAGACAAAAATCATTCACACATTCAGGTTGCCATGACAACCACCAACAGCTGACTCAGTATGACCTCTGACCTGGTTCTGAACAAATGATTTCTTTGTGTTCATGAGACATTAACAGTCTGTGGTCTGTTGTCTCTGGTCTGTGGTCTGTGGTCTGTGGTCTGTGGTCTGTGGTCTCTGGTCTCTGGTCTCTGGTCTGTTGTCTCTGGTCTCTGGTCTGTTGTCTCTGGTCTCTGGTCTCTGGTCTCTGGTCTCTGGTCTGTGGTCTCTGGTCTGTTGTCTCTGGTCTGTTGTCTGTTGTCTCTGGTCCGTGGTCCGTTGTCCGTGGTCCGTGGTCTCTGGTCTGTGGTCTGTGGTCTGTTGTCTGTGGTCTGTTGTCTGTGGTCTCTGGCCTGTGGTCTCTGGTCTGTGGTCTCTGGTCTCTGGTCTCTGGTCTGTGGTCTCTGGTCTCTGGTCTGTGGTCTCTGGTCTGTGGTCTGTGGTCTGTGGTCTGTGGTCTGTGGTCTCTGGTCTGTGGTCTCTGGTCTGTGGTCTCTGGTCTCTGGTCTCTGGTCTCTGGTCTGTTGTCTGTGGTTTCTGGTCTGTGGTCTCTGGTCTGTGGTATCTGTGGTCTCTGGTCTGTGGTCTCTGGTCTGTGGTCTCTGGTCTGTGGTCTCTGGTCTCTGGTCTGTGGTCTGTGGTCTGTGGTCTCTGGTCTCTGGTCTGTGGTCTGTGGTCTCTGGTCTCTGGTCTCTGGTCTCTGGTCTCTGGTCTCTGGTCTCTGGTCTGTGGTCTGTGGTCTCTGGTCTGTGGTCTCTGGTCTGTGGTCTGTGGTCTCTGGTCTGTGGTCTCTGGTCTGTGGTCTGTGGTCTGTGGTCTCTGGTCTGTGGTCTGTGGTCTCTGGTCTGTGGTCTCTGGTCTGTGGTCTGTGGTCTCTGGTCTCTGGTCTCTGGTCTGTGGTCTCTGGGGTCAGACTCTTCCTGCTCTCTCAGCTCGGACACTTTAACATGATTCATCAGCAGCTGGCGTTAAACAGTGATCACAGACTGCAGACCTGATGAGAACTAGTCTGTCCTGAGACCCTGATCGGTCCTGTAGACCACGTCCCGTGTGGTTCAGTGTCCCATGATGCTCTGAACTCTCACAGGCGTCTCCACCCTGAAAACTAAAATCTGAGGAACATGAACTGTTCAGTTTCTGCTCTCCTGCTGACAGCTCCGCCTCCAAAACAATCCATGTCTGAAACCCACTGAGATCGCCGCCTCCTCCTCCTCTTCCTCCTCCTCTTCCTCCTCCTCCTCCTCTCCATGATGCTCTATAGATGCTGCTGGAATGTGTTCAGAGGTCAGGGGTCACAGCCGGCCATCCAAGAAGACGAAGAAGAAGAAAGCCTCAGTGATTTTCCTTCTCTCCGTGGCAGCGAGGCTCCAGTGTTCAGAGAAGAACTCCCTCCTCCTCTTCTTCTCCTCTCGCTGAGTTGTTGTTTCTTCTTCGTCTACTCTGTCTCTGCATTCCTCCAGGAAACAAAAAAAACCAAAACAAAACAAAACAAAACAAAACAAAAAAAAAAAAAAAACAAAAAAAAAAAAAAAAAAAAAAAAACAACACTAGGAGCTAAAAAACAGGTCAGCCTATTTACATACAGTCTCCAAGTCTGGGCGTGTGTGTGTGGTTCATATGTGTGTGTGTGTGTGTGTGTGTGTGTGTGTGTGTGTGTGTGTGTGTGGTAAGAAGTTCAGAGTGTGAGTCTCTGTCTTTGTGTGTCTGTTCAGGATGGAAGTTTACATGATGTGTGTGTCAATCTGTGTTTGCATGTTAACTGTATAGATCGAGTTCCTGTGTCTGTCTGTGTGTGTGTGTGTGTGTGTGTGTGTGTGTTGGTGTTAGGTAGTGTGTGTGTGTGGTGTGTGTGTTATAAGTCTCTCTGTGATGTGCGATCAGTGTGTGTGTGTGTGTTCAGTCTGTGTCGGAGGAAGAGGAGTTCCTGTTGAGGAGCTGTCATCAGAGGAGGAAGAAGAGCTGCACTCAAACGACTAGCCCCGCCTCCTGAGGCCCGCTCCTCCTGCCTTCTCTAAGGGGTGGGGGGGGGGGGTGGGGGGGAGAGGGGGCGGGGGATGTGTGTTAATAAACAGATGCTCCAAAATAAAAGGTTGTATCTAAGAGTTTATGTTGAACCACCTGCTGACCCCGCCTCCAACCCCAGAGGGCCCCACCTCATTGGATACAAGGCCATGTTCAGCCAAAGCCACTATGCTAACCCTTCTGAAAATATGCTAACTACGCTGACTGTCCAGAAAAGATGCTAACAGCACTGTAAAGATGCTAACTACGCTAATCATCCTGAAAAGATCCTCACTGTTCGCACATAATGCTAACTACACTAACTGTTCTGAAAAGATGCTAACTATGCTAACTGTTCTGAAAAGATGCTAACTATGCTAACCGTTCTGAAAAGATGCTAACTATGCTAACCATTCTGAAAAGATGCTAACTATGCTAACCGTTCTGAAAAGATGCTAACTATGCTAACAATTCTGAAAAGATGCTTATTATGCTAACTGTTCTGAAAAGATGCTAACTATGCTAACCATTCTGATCCATCTGCTAGTCTCTGGTTCTGGTCTCAACAGACTCCTCATCTGAGTCTGGGTCTGACTGAGGCTCAAACATGTGGCTGAGTCTCTGGAGCCAGCAGGTGGGGGGCGGGGCTTCAGGCCTGATCCAGATTTCTCAATCAGGAATTGAAAGGAGATGAAAACTCGTGAAACTAAATATGAATCACAGTAGAGAATTTTTA